AATCACGCTCCACAGCAGAATATTGCAGTACAATCGTTCCGAGCCGGTATGAGTAGTTTCTGTGATGTCCTTTGGAGAGTACCTTGCATTTACGTTACAAAGCAGTAAATTTTGGGTTGCCCATGGATATACCGTGTCAAGGTCATGATAAAGCAGAAGCTGGTCGGCATTCGTCTGAATTCTGCGCCAAACCTTGATATCATCGGCAAAGAATAGAAAGTTTGAAGCGAGTTCATGTCCGAGGTAGTTACTAAACACCAAAAATAATGGTGACCCTAGAACTGACCGTTGTGATACAACACACTCGACTTGTATGGGGTCAGAAGAAGAGCTCCGAACTCTGACCACTAATTACCGTTGAAGTAGAAAGTTGGCAATCCAGCCTAAAACACAGTCGCCGATCCAGTTATGCTGGAGCTTGGAGAGTAGTATCTGATGGTCTAGACGACCGAAGGCCTTCGAAAAATCCAGGTAGATAACATGAAGGTCCTCTCCAACTTCAACTGACAGTTCAACTGCTCCGTGTGATCAATAAATTCGTTGCGCACAATCGCCGTCGACAGAAGTCGCGTTGCTCGAGCATAATGATGTTACGATTTTCCAGATAACACACCAGTCTAACGGTGACGGTGGATTACATGATCTTGGAGAGTATAGGGAGAAGGGATACTGGGCTCTAGTTGGAGAACTCAGTTCTGCTTCCAAGTTTGTGAATCGGGGTATTATTCCAACCTTCCACATATTAGGAACCTTATTCTGTTCTAAGCAGCACTGGAAACACTGAGCTAAAGGTCCTGCCAGTTGGCTTGCTGCTGATTCCAGTGCCTCTAGACGAATGGTATCGCCACCCGGGGAGCTGTGTGTGCGTAGATACGTCAGCTTCTGCGATATAACTTCAGCAGTAAAATCAATGTGGGAAGTCCTGCATGCGAATAATTAAAAACTGGGAGATAACCTAATGGTAATACTCTCTGAAATCTGGGAGCACACTGCGTCTGCAAGGTGTTTACTAATTCTGTTGCTGTTCTTGTTGGACCGTGAGCCGTCCGGAGTGAAGGGAATTCACTGCCTCAGCTTTCGAAGGCCACTGACATACTTCTACAGCAGTTTGTGATTAGCGCTGAAACTTTCGTCAAGTTCTGCTGATATACGGCTTTTTCCTCTCTTAGCAGTTGTGTACAGTGGGTACACTGGACTAGGTAATTGTCCCAATTAGCTGACGTTCTTAGTGTTCTATACTCTCGCCAAGCTACTTTGCTTACCGTCATCCATTTGCGGGATCTGTTGTTTACTAGTAAAACGGCTTAAGCCCGTTGCAATCCCTTCTTTCTGTGGTATCCGTAACCAATCGACTTTGTTGACGAATTCGGGACGAGCGAATTCCGAGTGACCTTCGGCAAGGAACGAACAGTTTGTGGCATTGAGGAGTTGGGCTAAGCGCTCGTAGCGTGTAATGGGCGCGCACCGTCACAGGGTTGTTGTGACGATATTCCACATAGCAGATTAAGTCGAAACTCATGAGTGCATGATCACTGAGACCCAAAGGGCATTTTACAATCAATCATATGTTCCTCGTTGATGTGCACAAAATTCAGCAAAGCTGGTCTTTTACCTGTTCCGAGGTTCGCATGAGCAACCCCTACAAGACAATATCAAAATTCACAGTTAAATTTTGCCTGACAAGTGACATATTAGTGGCATATAAGTGTGTAAAGTAGTAGTTAAATTCTACTTGCGTTAAGTTTACTCTTTTAATTTTCAAGGTCGTTGCAAAATAGGATGTTAGTGGGCACCATGGAATGAACAGCCGCCGTGAAGTGGTCATGCCCAAAACATCAGTGCATTAGGGATGCCAAGAGTACAGAACCTTAACTTCCCTGTCATGCAATCGAGTTCTTGAGTCAACTAAGATCTATACTGAAAGCTTGCGGATGTGGGTTATCTCGTGTTGATCACACTGGGAATTATCTAGGTACGGGTGATTTGTGTCGATCACCGTGAACACAGGCTACCAGATTAGAGTGAATTTCGATGCAATGAAGTTGCAGAGTTTCCCATTTAGATGCTCAGGTTCCATAAACGCCAGATGAATTTTGGGAGGAGTGCGCCTGAGAGTGAACAATGTGGGAGTTGCCTATATTTTACTGTCGTTCAGTGGACCTTTTAGGTATAAAGTAATTTAAGTGGACGCTATTGAGCATCTTGGGCATTTGTGGGGATAAGAGCTTTCCATGGCCGATGTAAAAGAAGGGGAAGATATTCGTCGACAGTACGCCCGTATGCAGTACCGGCGCCCCACTGTCACGTAATCACAACCAGTCGCACGTGGGCTAGGGATAATGCGAGGGTCGCCCTGTCACTACGCAGGCTAGAAGCCCCGCCTCCGGAGTACAAAGCAGGCGTACGATCCTTTCAGCCACGGTCCGGCCAAAGGAGAGACTAGACGTTGGTTCATCTCGAAGACTGTACTGCGTTACTGGCTTTGGAAGTAGAGATTACTTGATCAGTACGTAAAAGATAGGGTAAAAACACACTCCCCATTGTCGTCCCATCTTTGACGGACGCGAACACTTTGTCCAACCTTTTAAATTAAGTACAAATATGAGGGTATGCGGGTGTTCTCCGAGCTGGCTGATTTGGCTGCAAACGTTTCATCGTCAGGCTAGACGACGTCATCAGTGCGATTTATGCGGGCCACCTACAGATCCAAGCGATTAGTGATCATTTGATTCGAATGTCAGGAGCCTATTGGTCCAAGTGAGCTGACCTTGTAGTCAGCTCTTGCGTACTATTGGCTAGAGTCCGCCTCAATGACTTTCCTTTGTCCTTTTGATCTGGGGCGGAGTATTGTTTTGACCCTCAGTGCTTCATAGTCAATATCAAGATCTAAGTGTCGGTTGATTGAGTTCTTTCCCGAGTACCAAGCCTCGATGAACTCGCGGGCTTTTTGACTTTTTGCCCTGCTTATGATCCTGACATTCTTCAAATCAAACTGATGATTCTCGGCGTCCATATGTACCGACATCAGGGAGTTCTGGTCATGTCGGCGGATGGCTAGGCTATGCTCATGTAGCCTAGTGCCGAGCTTTCTTCCTGTCTGGCCCACATAGTATTTGTTACAATTTTTGCAGTGGATTTTTTAAATCACATCACTTGTTTCTTCTTTGCCAAGCCGGTCCTTACCATTGAACAGGTTGTCTCGGATGGTTTCTGTCGGTTTGTGAGCAACTCTGATTCCGAAAGGTAGAAGCAGTCTCGCCGCCATCTCAGAGACGCTGTTTATGTATGGCAGAATGATTGCCCTTTTATCCGTTTCTGATGTTTGTTTATGCGTCGGTCGTTTTATTGATGTTAAACAACGTAGAATGAAATTCCTAGGATACTCATTCCGTGTAAACATTTCGAATAGATGATCTTCCTCCGCTTCCCTCAGTTGCGGGGTGCTTCAATGTGTCTGCGCTCTTTTAAATAGAGTTGTTACGCAGCTGCGCTTGCTGACTGTTGGATGATTGCTGCGATAATACAGGATTTGGTCTGAATGCGTCGCTTTCCCATAAACTGTTGTGAGTCTCAATGACTGAAAGGAAAGGTGTTTGTCAGCAGACAGGCCAAGCGTGTTTCTCATTCTAGTCAGTGAATAGGCAATAGGCACGTTTTACCTACCTCAACGGTAGTTCATAGTTTGTATTCAGCGCATTAACTACCTGTTCTGTTAGTTTCTCTACAAGGACCCAGAACATAGCATTCTGAATCCTTTTTAAATATCACCCAAGCTTCAAAATGATGAAAATGAGCAAACGGAAACTAAGAAACAGCGCAGACGTACAAAATCTTCAGGAATCCTTGCTCAACTCTGTAGCCTTCAGTATCATTGCATCTTTGGATAGTCTTTCATACTGAGTAACATAAACTGATCTGAGGATAACAGAACCAAAGGATGATGAGAATCGAAGCTTTACGGGAACTAAATATACGGAAAACAAACCCCTATAACACAAATGTGGAAACTTCTCATTTCATTTGGAACTTGTATACTTATTGCAAATTGTCTGCATTCTTCGGTTACTGAGACAGGAAACATCCACAAAACGTATTCGAGCAAAGAGAGGTAGCGCTAGCTTTCTGCTACATCAACTATGGTTCCACCTACGTATTTCACACCAGGTGCACGAAAGCCACGATCAAATGGAAGACGGCCACGCTCCTTCGGCACTTAAATCGAGGACATTGGGTTAATGAATGCGTCGGACGCAAGTGGGATAGTAAGTGAGCTATAGACATTTACATAATGGAGCTACGAGGGCTCTGTATCCAGTCGTAACCAGTAATGATTGTCAATCTCCCTGGACTAGTAATCGATGCTGTCGCATCAGACGCGTAGTTTGTGCATTGATTGTGTAGATACTTGGGAGGCTCGAGACAAATACCAGTAGAAGCATGCCTCAAATGTATCAAAAGTTAGAACAACATTTCGATAAAACATAGCGTGTGACATTTTGTGTGCAACTTTCCTTGCAGACTTCGCGCGGTTTACCGACTCCAGATCCAACGAAACCGCGGGATCTGGTGAAAGTTAAGGAAAACTGAAAGTTCTAAACACATGAACATCAATGTTGTTCAACTATGTGGTATTTCCAAGTGGTTATCGCAAAGCGTAATACGGTAGCAAACTCAGTCAATGATTTACATGCCCCGATTTCCCACGTTTATTCAAAAAATTTCTTTTTCCTGTAACAGGTTATAGCCAACTTGATAGGTTACAATCATTCCCTAGTTTACTTTTGCTTCATGTTCTATAACAAGAAACTGCGAATAATAAAAGTGGGCGATTAGCTGGGGATACTGATTGAGCTGGTTTAATTTCTCATGAATACCCAGTTGACAATGCAATCCAACTAACTAGAGGAAGCAGATCTACCCTTCTTTGTGTTTCGTGCCCGGATGACATTTTTCTCAGCTTGGTGATACGATCTTTCGCTTTATTCACCCTTTCACAACAGTCTATTATCCAAAAGTCGGATTGCTCGCCTCGGAGAAGACTGCTGATCCGGCACTCCGTGACCATTTGGAATTGAAGTGTATGGCCTTCTCGTGTGGGTCTAATGCTTTGAGCAAATTGGAGGCCCTTGCTCTCAAGCAATCGGGTCTTGAATGTACTCGTTATGGCCGTATCGTTCAATGTAAGAATCTGGATTTGGTGCGGATTCACCAACCTATGGAAGATGGTCAAACACTAATACCCGATACGATTCTGGTCAGCGAAGGGCAAATTTTGCCCGATGTTTCGCAAATTATGACTGAAATGGAGCTGTTGCAAGCATCAACTGATAGGCTGTTTGTCAAATTTCCACGAAGTGAGTTTGGTTTTAAATGTGAGCGATGTTTTAAGTTGGTATACCTGGATGCTACACAATTGGTTTGAGATGAGGCCGGCAGTGACACTACTGATGATGTACCCTGAATCGTCACATATATCATCTTTTTACTTGTTCATATCACCTGCTCGCATGCCAGATTAGTCTAACTCCAATCCGTAAGAGCACCAAACCATCGTTTCGCCTTATTGACGCTCGTCAGATGTGCGCATTGTGTCGGTTCCCTGCTGGGGATCCAACCCATGACCGCTAGCCGCTTACGCCAAGTAGCCAGTCCCCACTGAGCCATGGGGAACGTAGGCAGACCGTCTGAACTTGCAATCTGCTGTGATATAGCGCAGTCTAACCTCCATTTTCATGCAGGTCCTTACCTTTGCAGACGAGAGTAGATGGCCTCCGAGGTCACGACTTCCACTACACCATGATCCTGCTAGGGTTTTAGGTGGTAACATCTTAAATAAGTACTGAATTGCCGTAGACAGTAGAGTTCTCCTTGGGCTCCGAACTATTTGATGTGACAGAATGTGAGCAACGTACGATGACGTATGACATAATTCTACGCATGGAAAGCATATAAGTTACAAGTCCCATGGGGTACTATAATGTTAGGTTCATTAAGTAGAATTAAAACAACAATTGCAGATTTTCTGGCAACAAGCTAGCCGAACTAGTTCTGCTCCCTGTCTTGTTTTGCCACACAAATTGGTCACGGGTTTTCCTCCGGGGAGTTAAAAGAAGTGTGTATTCGATGTGGTAATATGTATATGAGTGCGTGTGGCATCCAGCATGAGAACGATCAACAGAAAAGAAATGCCTGAGGCCCTTCAATCCGCTCTACTGCTCCATCAGCCTCATTAAGTGTCTGCTTATATTCACGGCGATATGCATGAGCTAGGCTGTGTAACCTCAGGTAAGCCATTAATAGGTTACTTCGTAATGGACTTTACAACTCGCAGCTTACTCCCAAACGTCCCAGTTTCTGCCATACTGGAGGATGGTGCATTTCAGTAGAATGTTGGGTGACCCGAAGTTGAGGAAGCTTCAGAGCAATGAAATCATGTTTTTTTGCGATTTCTACCACCATTGGGGTTTCCATGCCACGCGAGGTCGGATTTAAGAGCTAAGCCCTTGCGGAAATATACAGGAGTCTGTATCCGATTGTCCATCACAATGATCCGACTTCCTGATCATCAGCTTTTGTTTCTTTCTCCGCGTACTAACAAAAGCTAAATCTGCATTCTATACAAGGGATCTGCGATTGGTTATCACCGAGCCTGTAGAGTATGTGCTACGGGATCGTACGGATATTTCCTTGCAGTTGTCCATGCTGAGGCGCAGCGGCCTTCGGGATACCCGCAACAGAATTGCATCTAAGTAGTGCTCGATCGTTTTTCTAAGATTTTCCACATTAATTCATTGTTATGCCTTTATCAAAAAGTAAGGAATTTGAAGCCATATCTTAAATCGATCGCTGATACCATCTACCAAGTTCGCTTTAACATTCCGCGGTTGTTTTTGTCCCCAACAAGCGTACTTCCTGTACCGACTTCCAAAGCCTTAACCAATTGGATGACTCGGGTTGGGACATGTGGAACTGCATGTGACTTTGTAGTGTACAGCTCAGTTGTGACTTACCTATGGTATCTAAGTTACTTCCATTAGTATCCAGTATTTGTCCTCAACTTGCGAACAAACAGCGGAATAACTTATTTCTGCTTGAATTGTACGGTAATTCGAACTCGTCCCCACTCACTATTTTAACTTCACTATACGACATTGTCACTTCGGCACAGCAGAAACTGCGGTGGACTCCGTTGTACTTCCTGCCTATCTGTCGTACACAATTAAGCCGTCAGACCACTTATTGGCTTGCAGCACACACCACAAACTACATTGCAACTACTCCTCAGCGGATCACCAGTGTTTAAAATAGTTGCTATTCTACAGCTTAGTCTAATCTGCAATGTCCATTTCCGGATTTACATGTCATCACGATCGTCACACTTCGGAGACCTCTCCGGATTTGTTGCGGACAGCTCAACCTACACACTACACTTGTAGGGATAACCTGACGTGACCAGATGGGGGCACGTGAGGATGGGGAGCACGATGCGCAAACGAATCGGTATGACATGGTGACACACAGAAGCTGTCAAGTCAGTAGAAGTGTGGTTTGTACGCGTTTGACTCATCATCGTCAAATATTAGTGTATTTTTACTGGGTACTAATGTAGCGAGAAGGAGGCGGTAGAGACACACGGTCTTTATTGCCAACGAACAGCGGGTACACAGGCAGCTACGTACGCGCGCAATATGAAGGATATTTCCGGCACACCACGCACCACACTTCCTCCTTTGGATCGATGTCACATTCACGTCCCGAATTCTATCAACCCGATGGGTCCCGATGATTGATTTGCCTTCGTATCTTCGCTTTGCTCGTCATATTTCGACCGCGCTGGGTTCGTTCTTATGCACTTGGCTTGCTTAATTAAGGTCGCGTAACTCTCCTAGGGGATATTCCTGAAAGTGTGGCTATAGGTATATCTCTCTAGGAAATCGGCATCACTCTTGACTCCGTCGCTGGCCTCGAACTCATCAAGTCAATTCTCGACGTCTTCGTCTGCGAATTGAGCTGGCTAAGGCAACTTCATCCTGGTCACGGCCTCAATGTAGCGAGAGTGAGGCGGCAGGGATAAATAGTCTTTATTGACAAAGAACAACGGGTTCACAGGCTAGCGCGCACACGCTCACGTATAGAAGACATTCCCAGCCCACCACGTACCACTCATTTCGCTCGGAGTCACACTAATACTTCGTGATCGCATAACATTAAATACCGACGTAATGAGGAGCGGCAAATGTGGAGAATCGGGGCATTAATTCTAAAAATAAAATTGGTCCACCTTGCCTACAACACTCGATTAGAAGCAGTCGGCTGCTGTGCTAGGATAAAGCGATTTCCGTTGCTCAATGACATAATCAAATTTATCAAACAGATAACCCGCTTGAAATGCGTACTTCCACCATATGACGCTTGCAATCGTGCCACGAGTGTCCTTCTTTAACAATTACGAGACATGGTTCGGGACAAGCATACGGTTTGAGCGTGGATCACGACGTAGACAGACTGCCATCATCCAATTGAGTCACTAATGCCGTTGTTTCCCAAGGTCTGGCCAAAAATTGTCCTAAGCAATCATTGATCCACCGAACAAAGCTATGTCCTCCTCGGTGGGATAGAAACGGGAAAATTTAGAAAACAACCGAATTCATTGGTTTGCTGTTGTTGCCGGGAAACAACGTGTCGCTCGTCACCTATGTCTCCAATTTCCAGTTCATTGCCCTGAGGTTCTAATACAGCTCGACTTGAGTCATGGCTAGCACATGATAGGGGACACAGAACTAAAAGCGTTTGGAGTCTGCAGACTGAAAGGTAGGATTTAAATTCTGCACGAGAAAACGGTATTGAAGGGAGGATCGTTAGTCTTTGATCATACATCGGAATAAAACAACAGAGCAAATACATCCCAGACGGGAACATCTTGTAGGTGGAGAGTGGATTGATACCACTCTTAGTAGAGTTTGGCGATAGCAGCTGTGGGGACGATCATAAATTGTACACAATCCAAACCTATGCGGGTACGGTTAGCTCCCTCCTCATAACTGCTCTGTGGTGGATCACGGACGTGTTACAGTTGTATCAGCTGGATCAATATATATATATATATATATCCAACAGGATACCAGTCACATTACAATTGGCTGTGTCAGAACACATAAGAAACAAATACCTTGAAAGGAAAAATGACTGTTAGAAAAGAACCCCACAGCAAGCACCCTTTGTGTGCGGTTTTTGGTCATGTCCAGAAGCATTCGCAACTACATGTGCTCGGGGTTCTTTGGTCCCCAACCCTAGAGTCACGAAAGACCAACAGCGGTCAGCTTCGGCGTTTACGCATTAACGCATTGGATGCAAATATTACACAGACCAACTTATCATCGCTTCCGTCAGACGCCTTCGCCCATAAATAGGGCTTGTCTTGGTAGCCGCTGGGTAGGCATGCGGAGCATATGCTCAAGCCAGTGAAGTTTTCTCAGTGAAATGATACTGTCAATGGCTCGTCGGATTTCTTCAGCTTTGAAGACTTGCCGACGGACTTCCTCATTACTTATGTGATGGTGCCATCTAACATGAACAATGCTTCGCTGTCAACGGTGATCGAAGATAAATAGCCGCTGAACGTCACTTTTGCTAACGAACCAATTCTCAAAGCTGTACATCAGAATCACTCGTGCCGCAGCATTGTAGACTTGTCTCTTGCGAGCGAGGCTGTGGTCTCCACGAAGCCACAAGTGACAAAGATTAGCGAAAGCTACTCTAGCCTTGGTGACACGCAGAGAGATCCCAACCGTCAAACCGCCAATATTAAGAAAACTCCCAATGTAAATGGAGCATTGGTTCATAAAAGGTAGAAAAAGTAAATGTTTGTTAAGTCCGGCTGAAAGGCTAAGGCTTGAATTACAAGATGGAATCACATGGTTGAGAAAAGAAAGCGCCTGGCGCAAGTCACGCCAAGAGATTTGCACTTGCACAGGTATAAGTGTCCCTACTGGGAGTTTAGGGGAGTCTGATACATTTCAATTGCAGTGTTAGTATGTCATATCTTTAGTTTATCGGTGGATGGCAGAAATGTTGAAGTGAGCACCGTCGCGAAGTCGTGTGTGATCAGGAACGAGGGCGTCTGTGTACCGAATCTTTTGATTCTTTGCACTGGACTTGGATGGGTCAGATAGTGTGCTGCGAACCCTCAGCTTCAGATGAAGTTGTACGCGAATATTGCCGATCCACGCAGAACCGGATCATCGAGTCTATGATGCCTTATGTTTTCATGTCGAACACATCGATGTATATGGGAATGTGCCTTTGATAAATCTAATTAGATACCATCTACTCCTACCTCAGCATCCACATTTTC